GTAAGCCATCAGAAATGTAGTCATGGAACAGCATAAAAGAAGCTGATCTGTCCACATGTAAGGGACATCTTCTGAAAGAATGAAAGTTTTTAAAATTCTAATTGTCATTCTTATGCCTGTCCTTTTCAAATGTTCTGACAAACACTGAACAGACTAGTTAGGATTAAAAAAGTTCGGATTAAAAAGTCTCGTCACGTTTATAGCAAGGCAGTGAACCAAGTGCTCTGTAAAACCAAAAAAAACCAAACCCATTGCCATCGAGTTGATTCCGACTCATAGTGACCCTACAGGACAGAGACCTGCTCTGTAGGGTTTCCAAACAGCGGCTGGTGGATTTGAACTGCTAACCTTTTGGTTAGCAGGTGAGCTCTTAACCGCTACGCCACCAGGGCTCCAAGTGCTGCGTAATGCTGTAGAAATAAGTATTTTAAATGGGCAAATTTCATATAAAATTCTAGAGAAGCGGGGACTGGACTGGTGTCAGAGATAACTATGAAGATCAGCCGTGCTCCCAAATGGCCCAGAAAGTTCTAAGGGCGACGTCGCAGAAGGCCCTTCCAGAGAGCACAGCTACAGCATGAGCAACAGCAGGAGCGTTCAGACCCAGATGTTGACAGCTCTCTGCGGACAGGCAAGCGACAGGAACGGTTAAGGCTCCTCATGGCAGAGCTGGTGTCAGAGGTGTTCGTCTCCTCTCCTGGTATTCTAGGCCATCACAAGTGGGAGGTAAGCAACACGATAATGCTGATGGGAGATGGCAGAGCTGCCACCTGAATTAGAAAATGAATCGCATGGTTCATTCAGAACACGCCCCACAGCCCTTCTCTTCCTGTGGCTCTCCCTCTCCTCTCTCCCGCCTAGGAGGTAACTGGTAATTCTGAACACAAATTGTAACGCCCTGTGGTTCTCCAGTCTTTCAAAAAGAAACCTTCTCACTCTCAAGGAATGTGGCATTTCGCAGCTATTATAAAACCTGCCTGAGGTTATGAATGACCTTTCCTGCTCTTCTACGGGGCCCTCCCTCTGCCCATCAGGCCTGCCTGCCTCAGGAGACTTTCCTGACCTTGCAGCCCATGGTGATCTCCCCCACCAAGAACGCTGATGATTTAGAACCTGGCAGCGTGGATAAACTAAGGGCACTGGTCACACACTACCATGTAACTGTCCCATGTCCCCAGATGGACTGGAAGCCCCTGGGAATGGG